CTGACGTTCCTGACTCCTCGGTTGCCTCCTCCGAAGATCCGTCCCTCTGCTGTACCCTAGCTCGCCTTTTCATCTTCTGTGCATTCACCTCCATGGGTTCGTCTTGAGGTCTCTCCCTCCTGCGAAATATGTATGGGCACTGTCTTGCTATGTGCCCTTCGGTCCCGCACTCGAAGCATCTGGTGCGCGGACACTGCGCTACTAAATGTCCCGGCTTCCCACACCCGTGACATTTCCTTTCTTCCATCCGGGGCCCATTCCTCGGCCTCGACGACTGTCCAGATCTTCTTTCCCCCATCGTGGCTTTTTCTCCACTCTGCTGCCTTGTGTCTCTCTTCCTCCAACCTGTCGGGGCTGTCCGTGGACGTCTATCCGTCACTCGGATCCATCCCGGTTCCTCCACGTCCATCCGCGTCTCTTCCTCCCTTGCGCTTAGGTCGATCATTTCCTGGGCACATTCGAGGAATGATCTCTCTCTGGGCAAACCGTCTCTCCTCCCCGTTTCCTTCGCCAGCTGGACCTTAAGTATCGTCGACAGGAACTCCATCCTGGCTTCGACCTCTCCCACACTCATAGTTTCGCGCATTTTCTCAGTTATGCGGTTGTACTTTGCCACTAGTACCCCCGCATACTGACCCCTCGTCTGTCGTTGGGACCGGCGCTCTCTAAACATCTGGAAGATGTCTTCCTCCGGCGTCCATCTGCCTCCTCCGAAGGCCTTCTTTAGTCGCTCTTTGATCACCGGCCATGGTGTCTCCTCATCCGCCTGAATTTGGTTCAGAATGTTTCTCCTTACGCGGCACACCAGAGCTGCTTTCAAAGCTTCCGCGTCCCCGAGGTTCACCAGGTCCTCCGCCACCTTTACCTCTATCCTTGACATGAGGCGGTCTCCGCCTTTCAGGAAGTGGTTAAGTTCCCCTACCTCGCCACCGAAGCGTTCCAGGTCCGCAATGGCTCTCCGTAGGTCCTGCGTGGTCGCCGCTCTTATCTTCATCCACTCTAGCTCGTTAGCGTGCACTTCTGCCAATGTGTCCCTCGGTAAGGGAGGGATCTCCTGGATCTGAGGGATCTGTGCTACCTGCGGGATCTGAGGTATCTGAGGAACCTGAGGTGCCTGCGTGATCTGAGGAATCTGCGCTATCTGAGGCATTTCCTGAGGTTGCGGAACTTCAGGTGCGTTTAGTACTCCCGGTCTGATTAAGCCCTCGGTCGGCATCTCTTCTTTTCCTTATGGTTAAACCAACAATAAAAAAAAAATATACTTATCAAAAAAAAAATTACTTCCCTGACGTTGTCCCGGGTTTCGGCACCAGTTAAGCGTCGTCGGACTTGAAAATAAAAAAAAAGAAGGAAAAGGGGTAGAGATGCAACACACACGGCTTCTGAAATAACACTACTTTATTCGTTCCATAAGCCTCCTTATATACACTCAGCATGTTTATTTACATTACCAGATAGTATTAAGGCTGATACCGCCAGTCTCCGGTCTTTATCTTATATATATATATATATATATATATATATATATATATATATATATATATATATAGGAATCAGTGTATATATATATATATATATATATATATAGGAATCAGTGTGTATATATATATATATATATATATATATATATATATATATATATATATATATATATATATATATACACTGACAGGCAAAAAATTCCACCCACTTGATTTATTCATATTTCCATCTAAAAATATTTCTGCTTTAGATTGGTCTATTGTTTTTAATGAATAAATAGGTAATCTTTTTGTTTGTTCTCAATTAGGAATGTTAATATAGAGGACAATAACCCTTAATCCTTAATTCAATGAAATGACCCTAGATCCCAATTTTTACTTTCTATGGAATCAAAATGTTTATTCAGTATCATTAGTTCAGTGCCATTTCTTGCAGCACATTTCTTAGTCTCTGGCTTTTAATTTTTTCAATATTAAGTTTAAAAATGCCTCTTAGTACTGAAAATGTTGCGCGCGGTGTGGCACTTATTGATGATGGACGTTCCATTAGATATACAGCTAATGCCATCGGAGTTCCATATGAAACTTTACGAGACGCCGTCAGGAGTTTTCGGGAAACTGGTTCTTACAATAGAAGGTCCGGTTCTGGACGGCCTAGTGTAACAGAACCACGGGATGACCGGTTTTTTACTTTGAGAATTTTACGAAACCGGCACCTTACCGTTGTTCAAGCGATTCATTAGCTCGAAGAAGTTCGAGGTGTGCAAATTTCTGAACGTATCGCTCGGAGAAGATTAAATGAGTATGGATTAATGGCTTTTCGTTCAGTAAGAGGACCAGAGTTGACAGAGATGGAATGGGCTATCCTCCACCAAAGGGACATTTCCCGACTGGTGGAAGGTATGCCGAGGCGTCTTCAAGAAGTTGTGAAGGCAAGAGGAGGAAACACGCGCTACTAAACGATGATGTAATTAATTTCTTTTAGAATAATAATGGTTCGTTTTGGAATCTTGGAAACATTGGAATCTAGAAACATTTCATTGAATTAAGGATTAAGGGTTATTGTCCTCTATATTAACATTCCTAATTGAAAGCAAACAAAAAGATTACCTATTTATTCATTAAAAACAATAGACCAATTCAAAGCAGAAATATTTTTAGATGAAAACATGAAAAAATCAAGTGGGTGGAATTTTTTGCCTGTCAGTGTATATTTCTGCTCCCAGCAATTCCAGAAACTTTTGATTGCATTTCTTAAACTGCTAATCAACTTTACGAATCAGTACACTCAGATGCAATCAGTCAAACATATGCAATTTCTCATGATTAACTCATATAATAGCATATATTGCTAATTTCAATTAGTTAAAAAACAGCTGAAATAAAAAATTAAATTCCAATATTCCATATTAATTTTTAGATCACAATTGTGGGTTTATTTTCAAAAAATGACGCCAACTTCATTAATTGACTTCTTGAAATATTGATTTATTTCATATTCTGCCTTTTCCACTACCCTTCTCGTAAATTTTAATAATTTAAATTCCCCACTAGGTTTTTTAATTTCTGTTTGTTTCTTAATCTCGTCACAAGAGGTAATGTTCCTTGTTATTTTAAATGCCAAAAGTAAGTGCATCATTTATTTCAAAATAGAAATGTTGGATCCACCGCTGAAATACCTAAGTAAAAAAGATTTTACAACAAATGCAGAAGTTAGTTATTGCATATATTATACAAAATACGTTTCTAGAGAAAAAAAATTACTTTCCTGTGCAAATAGATTTTTTCCCATCCGACATGTAGATCATTTTCTTATTATTTAAATATTTAAAGCAATCAGGTTCTTCAAAAAAAAAAATTTGAAGTTCATTAATTAATCTAATTGCAAAACATGTTTACTAATCCATTCAAGTTTTATTTATATTTTTTTATGTTGTCAATCAGTTTTTAAGTACAAGCATTGGCAACTTTATTTTATTACTGATTACTTTCATAAGTTAGTTTTCAAATAGTGTCTCACATTTTGTTTTTAAACAATAACAGGGATATTTTTAATATTGTTACTTATGTTTTAATTTCTTTTTCAATTTTTTAACTATTCCACTTTAACTACTTTAAGTTAACATTTTTAGTATTCCTTTGCTTTTTTTTTTTTTTTAGTAATGTTAATAAGTTATTCTTTTTATATAAAATTGCCTATTAGTTTTTTCTCTTTGTTATTAATCCACTTTTGTACTAATTTAATATTTTTGTGTTAAGAAGTGTTTTACATTATTTTTTCAACCATTAATAGGCATATAACTGTATAGAAAATTCCAATGACCAAAAAAAGATAGACTTATATTTTTTTTTCCGTTTTTCATTCGTTACATTATATTTTAATTATTTTTGTTCGTAAAAAATAAAAATAGGAATAGTTTCATTTAATTTTTAATTCTTCGTCCAATTTCATTTTTAGTTCAGAACTTTTGCTGGCACATTAATATATTTTAGCTGTATTATTGCATATTTGGAGATTTTCGCTGCATATTTTATATTTTTTTACAGCATGTTTTACGATTATTTATAGCATGTTATATGGCATATTTTACAAGGTTTCTGTTTTGAAAACTTTTACAATTATGGTAAAATAACTCGCATGAGTTTCATTAAGGCAACATTCTAAATTTTAACATAATTAAAAAATTAATTAATTAATTTTACCCGTAACATTCTAGTTTTTAAGCAGTGGGCTGTATCTTAAGGGATTGCTAGGTTAATGATAGTTCGAAAAAATAGCTTACCGTCTATGTGCCAGCTTACATCTTTTTTATCTTGGAGGGCCCTCTGCCGTCGGTCCTTGCTGGTCGAATGCTGATCAGGTAGTGGCCTCGAGGCTTCGAGTCTCTCTCAAAGCTTAAGTCTTATCTTTTATCTTTTAGATCTGCTCCCACCACTCGCCGTAAGCCACCATTCTTTTGCCAACCAGTTTCATTGCAAAAAAAAAATCTGTTTATGATGAAAGAGAACTGGTACTGCTACTGGTACGATGAACTAATCCAGCAAGTGGGCCACATGGTCCTATTTGACAATCCCAGATAGCTACCTTGAAGTTGCCGCCGCGTGCTTACCAGAGAGGGTATGTCAAGATTCATTTCCTAGGGCTATGAAATGAAAATTATCCGACTCAGGTGGGAATCGAACACACAACGTTCAGGACATGGCACTCTGAAACCCACGCACCAACGTACTTGACCACACCATCCTCTTTTCGCTACCCTTGGGAAACATCGAAACGGAAGGTTGGGTGGCCCCACCAACTCGAAAGTATCTGTTCTCCAAAATATCTATAAGATGACCTAATCCTAGACCATCGTGGTCCAAGATCTATATTTCCAGTAATAGAATACTATATTGAATAACAGAATACACTTGGATTTCATAACCTTATAACAACGCATCTATTATAAAATTGTTATTTTAACTTCTAATTACCCTTATATTTTAATAATCTTGACATTATATAAATTGTAAATTTAGGAAGGTATGTGGTCGGAATGGTCGCCATGTTCTCGAACGTGCGATGGCGGCACATCATTTCAAATTAGAAAGTGTAATGAAGTAAATGGCTGCTTTGGTGAAACTCTTCGATACAGATTGTGCAATATGCAGGTGAGTAATATTTTAATATATTAATTTACTTTATACCTAATCATCATCACATATGGCGCGACAATCCAACACTTGATCTGTACTGCCTCTAAATGCCTACCACAGTTGGCACGGTCCTTTGATGCAACTTTCCAATTTCGGATTTTTAGGAGGTCACTTGAGTCCACAGACAATCCGTCCAGCCACCTTGCCTAAGGTCTTCCACTCCTCTTCTATTATGCAGTTCCTCCAACATCAATAGTTTGTGAATCTCGGAATCATCCATTCGAGAGACATGGCCAGGGCTACGTAACCTTCCAAGCTTAGTGAACTTTGCCTTTCAACCTTCCTAGCACGTTTTCCTTGTAGTAGAGCTCCTGAAGTTCCCAATTTTTTCTTCTGCGCCAGATATTCTTTTCTTCAACAAGCCCAACAAATTTCCTGAGGATTCTCCGCTCAAACGTTAGAAGTTTTCCTTCATCTGCCTTGGTGGTAGCCCAAGCTTCTGAGCCATACGTCAACACTGGGAGAATCAGCGTCTTGTAAATATGGGTGTTTGTTTTATTGCCCAGAGACCTACTTCCTAGATGCTTCGTTGGGCTGAAGAAGCTTTGGTTAATAGCAGTAACTCTTCTTCCAATTTCCAGGGTGGGGTCATTTCTTCAACTAAGTTCTGTGCCTAGATAAGCGAACGATTTTACGTGCTCAAACTTACTGGATCCTATTTTAGGAATGTTTTCTGGACCCATTTTCTGGCTTGATAACTGTCCAGTTCTCTTTCTGCAAATGGGACTAGCGTTTCAAAAAAGTACATTTGAGAGCACTTCATATTCACAGAAAAGAAGGGCCATTTATCCGTAATTCCCACAAATCATTTGTTCTCCTTTTTTATGCTGAGGGAAAATTATTGATTAACTCCAATAATTTTGAAACTTCTCATCCACCCATATTAAAAGATAAAGATTGTATAATTCTCTCTTTAATCCTTCTCCGCCATATTTCAAGAGCTCTGCCTCTGGGGATATTAATCCATCCAGTGGATTTGTTGTTTGTTTTTCAATTTTTAGATGGCATTTTCAACATTTTCTTCATCTGGTGGCTATATTTCTTCTATATCATCCCCAGTTGGCCTGTCATCAACTTTAGAAATGCTTTTTCTTTGTTGAGAAGAAGTCTGAAGTGCTTCACCCATATAATCTAGTAAATTAATCTTCTGGATAAACATAATTCCGTCTTCTGCTCTGCATGAAGTGATCCCAGGTCTAAAGGTAGCTCCTTCTTCATTTACTCTTTTGCTGAATAACCTCGATTCGTTTGCTTGTCAAAGACTTTCAGTTACCTCAAGTTTTCTCTTATCCCATGATCTTTACTTTCTTGGGTGATAATATTGTTTCTCTCCGTCTTCTTTTTTGATATTCTCGGGCAGATTAATAATACAGAAAGATAATTAGATAATTTATATAGATACATATTAGATAATTAATACTGACTCAAAGTTTTCAATCTTAGGAATACATGTAAGAACAAAATTTCGTATTTAAGAGTTAAGAGCCGACACTTTCATTTCACTGTTATATTACTGTTGCTCATATATTAACAATATTGTTTATCAGAACAATCATGGGAACACACTTATATATATATATTTATGTGCAAATTAATATGTTTACTTGTATTTAATTTCAAGGTTTGATTATTATGTTATGTTAACTACTAAGGTTTTATTTTCTTATAGTACCAGACAATTGTAATTTTTTTGTTCACTGTAGTTATTCTTAGGTAACTAAATGTTCCAGAAGAAAATAAAATTTACTCTCTTCTTCTTTACTTGTGCTTTTTTATTTTTATTTTAGGGTTAGATAATTATATTACTTAATTATTTCTTGATTGTCTTCTAACTCCAGACAAATGTCACTTTTCAGTTTATTATAATTATTCATAGGGAACTAAATGTCCTAGAATAAAATTTACTTTTTTATCTTTCTAAATTCATATGTGACAGCTCAGAACCTGCTAAAAACCAAATTTCATAATAAATATTACTAACTAAACTATATCAACCACAAAAAAACAGGAAAAATGTTATGGTACTCTTAAAAACTTACTTATAGAGTAATTAGATTCGAACTTATTTGGTAAATACTCTTTAATGCATATGATAAAGCAACTGAAATCATATGATTTTTGAGAAACAAGATTTGATATCCATTTGATATTTTGGTCTAGTTCTGAACATTGGTGAATTTTGTTGTGGAAAATTACTTAATTTGCTATAATTATTAAATAAATAATCATTAAAATTATTTCTTATTTGCTAATTTTATACATGTGATATGTATTTTATTCAGACCATATATATATATATATATATCAATTATCGCCATTAAAAACAAAGGATAATGGATGCAACAGTATTTTTTTTTTTAATCTTTTTATTGATAAATAATACATTTTGCCACATTTAAGGGCACTGAGTACTAAAGCTGAGTGAGGCTCATTATACCATATATACAATACAATAAAAATAAAAAATAAAAATATATATCTATATAGCAAAGGCAAAAACTATAAAACCAAGGAAATGTAACTTGAAATCAAATTAAAAAGAAAAAAATACAGAAATTGAGAGCAAATTAAATAAGTCATAAGTAAAACACATGAATATATAAAAAAGAAAAATATTCATACTTAATTACAATATTTACAATCAGCCAAAGGCGCTCCGAGTCCAGCCCTTTCCTCCACGTGTGAAGGACAAAGCGAGACTCTAAGAGATCCCAGGCTTCTCTCTCAGCCGGGTCACCGGCATTGAAGTCCAGTGGAAACTGAGAGAGGGCACTAAAGCAACAGACAATCATGACTTGAATGGAGAGGCTGGCCATTGCCAGAACTCCAGTGACAATCTTAACAAAAGGTCTCTAGGCCATTGCCGTTTCAACCTTCTAGGAGGGTTGTAGGGGTGACTGGAGCTGGATAAGGATTGTGCTAAGGGGTTGCAACAGTATTAGGCATTGAAAAATTCACAGCAGAGAATTATGAAATATATTCCATGGAAATAGAAGCATAATTAGAAGCAAAAGGCCGGTATGAAGATGTAATAGAAAAATGAATACAGCCCATAGAAGAAAATATGTTGAATGAATGGGGGAAGAAGAACAAATAAGTTGTGTATAACATCATATTCACTGTAAGTAGTGACATACTTCTATCAATTAGAGGAGAAAAGAAGGTGTGGGAAAAACTGAAAGTTTGACAGTATCTCTGAGGAGCAGGTAATAGACTTTATTTTTGACTTAAATAATATTTAAAAAAGTAACTCTAAGTCTAGTTTTAATACCCCCGCGATTCCTTAACAATTTTAAGCACAGGTACTTGCTTGTTCCGTGCTTTTAAGGATTGGCAAAATTTGAATGAAATAATATATTTAGATAACTATTTTTTAAATAAAAAAAGTCAACTAATGAACAGTACAGGAACTGAATCTTGTGGCATCAAAAAAGGAAGTAAAATCAATGTTAATAAATTCTTAGAAAGAGCTGGAAGAAGAGCATTATCTGCCATGCTTGTGAATGGCACTGCGCAGCAGTACAACAAATCCACTTCTGCATTCTGTACAACAATTTCTATCTTGAAAGTGTTCTGATGGTTGTCAACTTGTATTACCTATAGCCATCATTGGCCTAATCATCTAAAATAGTATAACACAACACAGGTAAATATGAAGAAGAACTGACATTGAACAGCTTGCCTCAATTAGCTCATTTAGGTGATCGCACTGTATTCTAACAAACATATAAGGTATGTCTATCAATGCACAGGTGCTTTGATCCATTTAACCTTGATCATTTGCTATATGGGCATGATTTCTTTTTATGTATTTATGCATCTAATCAATTTTATGATCTTTTTATCATTTATATAATTAATAATTATTATTAAATCATAATCATCCTGAATAAATAAACAGATTTGTTTAATATATTACTTTATGAAAGCAGTTGCTGAAATAGTATTTAGTGCTTGTCATTTTTGATAGGCCTGTCCTGATGGAGTTGAGTTTAGAGATCAGCAGTGTGCTTCCTTTAACCAAATACCATATGAAGGACAGACGCTGGAATGGAGTGCTTATCAAGGACCTCAAGATGACCCATGTGAGCTTCGATGTATAGCAAATACAGGATTAGTTGCTACACTTGCTCCACAGGTTCAAGATGGTACACGTTGTAAGCCAGGCACCCTTGATCTTTGTGTTAATGGTAAATGCCAGGTACGAATTATCAAATTATATATATATATATATATATATATATATATATATATATATATATATATAATATATATATATATATATATATATATATATATATATATAATTTATTTTAATTTTCCATTTTATTCTTAAAATTATTTAAAAAAAAAAAAAAAACATTCTAAAATTATTTTTCATGTTCCCTATGGTCTTGAATATTCTACATTATACAAAAAAATATCCTTTTGAAATAAGATGAATCATTAAAGAAAGTAGTTTCAATCTAAACTAATTCAACCATTTTTGTATTTATGGTTACTCTAACCCACCTGGCCATTATTAAAAATTTATTTTATTTTTTATTATATATATAAACTGTAGAATAGCTCTGGTAACCATGAAGTCACATGGTTCATCTTGCTTCTGGAAAAATCCTATTCATCAAAGTGTTATCCTGTGAATAGCACAGAAAACGTGCAAATGGAGATTGATCTTTTATTCTATATTTAAAAGATGTTTGTCTTACTTTGATCAGTAATTGGAGTGATAACTCACATTTATTTATCTTTAAATTATCAAAAGGTCAATCAGATTGCTTAATATACATATATTTGTATCAATAGAATTATATATCTGAACTAAAACAAATTATATTGTTTAAAAAAAAGTTTTCATTTTAATTTTGTTTTTTGGGAATGAACCAGAGTATTCTGGGATCAGAGTACTAATACATGGAGGAGAAAGACCAATAAAAATCTGCTTACAGAAACTGGTCGATCAATATCTAATGATATGAAAGGAAGGATCTGTAATGCCAACAGAAAAAAAGATTAATTAATAAATAAATTAAAAAGTAAGAGGATGAAAAAACAAATCCTTGTAATCTCCACCCTCCTATTTTCTCGAATATAAACTTAATAAATTCATATTTGAAATCTACTGCTCCACAAATTTAAGTAAAATTCGAAGTCTGTTTAACAGAAGAATTGGGAAAAAATTAAAATATTACAATTTGACAACAAAATTTAATATCTTGGAAAATAATAGGCATATCGTCGGTTTATTGGAAAAAATTACTAAATGCATTTTTGCTATAGGTTAACTTTCAAATATGTTCTTGTGAATATCTACTTTATTTATCAATACAAAAACATAGTAAGTGCACGATAATGACACTATTCCTCTTATATATAAAATCTATTGACAAAAACAGCACAATTTTCTGATTTTATAAAGGAAAAATTATTTAAGATTATGAAATGTCACTTCAAAAAAAATCAAATCAAAAATTATTTTATTTAGATATACATACAACACAATAAGTCATAATAATGGTTACATGCTTATGGCAACATTACCTTATACATGTTATAATAAAGTGGTGTGATTGCTATTTTTTATGCTGCAATATATTTTGTACAGTATGAAAAATAAAAAATAAAACATAATTTATAAAAATTAATAAATATCTTAAAAACTATATACTGACATTATAATATATAAACAAGATAATACTTATCACACAGTCTCATATTTTATATCTTATAAATTATTATTCAATAATTGGTGTGGTTGTCTATACCACTTAATTATATAACAATAATTGCTTGTTTATCAATATTTTTAATGTTATGAAGTTGGGTTTTGTCATGTCAGGAGTATGTGTTTTGTCCGTTTGTATTTGTACCGTTTCAGTGATTTCTTGTCATAGTTTCCTATTATTTGGATCTTGGGATTATCAGATGTTGTAAGCTCAAAGAACCTTTGTGTTTTAAGATAAATGTATTGTTTTATTGTTGGAAGCTGCAATTCTGTTAACATAGTGGCTATTTTTGTATATCGTGGATATTTGTTTATGATTCTCATGCATATGTTTTGAATCACTTCTAGTTTTCTATAGTTAGACTTACAAGTATAACTCCATACTGGGGAAGAATATGTGATTAGAGTGAGGATATCTGCTTTATATAAAATCAATTTATTTTTTTAGAATAATTGGGAGTATTTACTGAAATACGGGGACATTTTGCTAATCATTTTTTTTTTTTTTTTTTTTTTTTTGTATGTTTTGTTTACATGCTGGGTGAAATTTAGGAACTTATCAAGTTCAAGGCCTAAATATTTCACTGAATTGGACCATGGAATCTGTTTGTCTTTTATGAGTATGTTATGAGTTATACTTGGTCTTCTTTTTGTGGAAATTATTGCTTCTGCTTTTTGTTCATTTAATTTTATCTTCCATTTTCCAAGGTATTTAATGAGTCTTATAAGGTGGGATTGTAGTCTGTTTGCTATGGTATCAATACTGAAAGAAGATGTGTTAATAGCTGTATCATCTGCATATATTGAGTGTTCTACTGAAGGAAAGGAAGGGATATATGAAATATATAGATTAAATAGAGTAGGAGAAAGACAGGAGCCTTGAGGGAGACCTGCAGAAAGGGAATGGATTGAGGAATGGACATTCTTTACTGTAATGTAAAAGAAACTATTGTTGAGATATCAGTGAAAGAAATGGATTATGTAAGATGGGAATTTATATAAAATGAGTTTATGGATAATTCCCTCATGCCATACTGTGTCAAATGCTTTTTCTATGTCTAGGAGGAGCATACCGACATGCTTCTTTTCATTGAATTCTTTGGTAATATAGTCACTCAGTTTGGCTAATTGGGCTAATGTTGAGTGATTTTTTCTGAAACCGAATTGCTCATCGGATATTAAATTATTTTGAGTTATATTACTCAACATTCTTTTTAAGAGCAGTTTTCAAAAATTGTAGATATTATGTTGAGAAGGCTGATTGGTCTATAGTTTCGAACATCTGCTGGGTCTTTGAAATGTCACTTTTTTTTCTTTTTTTTTGTATCTGTTTATTGAGTAATAATACATTTTGCCACACTTAAGGGCACTGAGTACTAAGGCTGAGTGAGGCACATTCATACCATATATACAATACCATTAAAAAAAAAAAAAAAAAAAGTATAAAAATCTATATAACAAAGGCAAAAAATATAATAAACCAAGGAAATATAACTTAGAATTAAAATTAAATGAAATACAGAAATTCGTAGCAAAATTAAATAAATTATAAGTAATAGAAATAAATAGAAAAACATTCATACTTAAATACAATATTTACAATTAGGTAAGAGATCTCCGAGTCCAGCCCTTTCCCCCACGTGTGAAGGACAAAGCGAGACTCTAAGAGATCCCAGCGTTTCTCTCTCAACCGCGTCGCCGGCATTACCAGTTCGGTGGAGACTGAGAGAGGGCACTAAAACCACAAACACTCATGACTTGAGTGGAGAAGCTGGCCATTGCCAGAACTCCAGTGACATCTTTACAAGAGATCTCGAGGCCACTGCCGTTTCAACCTTCGAGGAGGGTTGTAGGGATGACTGGAGTTAGATAAGGATTGTGCTAAAGGGTTAGGATGGTGGATTAGGTTCATGTGAAAATTTGAGAATCGGGATGGAATAACGTCAAAGATATAAGGGATGTAAAGGTCATGATGTAGGGTTTTGTTTGTAACGTAATAAGGAGCATTGACTATCATATGGAGGACTTTAGACTGAAAGGATTGGATGCGTTTGATGTTCTAAAATTTAGTTGTCCCCCACAGTTCAAGTCCATAGGTCCAGATGGGTTTGAGTATGGTCTTGTATATTAATAGTTTGTTTTCTATTGATAGATTGGATTTTCTGTTAAGTAGTCTGTATAGCTGGCCAAATCAGATTGGATTTTCTGTTAAGTAGTCTGTATAGCTGGCCAAATCGTCGGTTAAGTTCTTGTCTTTTAAGTCTAGTATGTGGGTTCCAAGTTAGTCTTTTGTCTAAAAGGAATCCAAGGAATGTCAGCGGTGAAGAGGATGAAGAGGACTGGGCCCAAGACACTGCCTTGTGGAACACCAGCCTCAATTGGATAATAGTTGGAGAATTCAGTGCCGCAGCGGACTTGAAAGGAACGATTTGAGAGGTAGGATTTGAGGAACTTGGACTAGGTACAAGGATTGGGGTAGGTGAATTTTGAGCTTGAAAAGCAAGCCATCATGCCACACCCAGTCGAAAGCTTGCGCTACGTCCAGGAAGGCACCGGTGCAATATTGTTTGTTTTCAAGTGCAGAGGATATATGGTCAACAACGCGAAGGCCTTGTTGAACAGTGGAATGTCTTGAGCGGAATCCAAACTGATGGGATGGGATATTGTGGGTTTCGAGTATGGGTAGGATGCATTTGAGAAGGATTTTTTCAAAGATTTTGGAGAGGATTGGGAGCAAGTTTATTGGTCTATAGGATGAGGTATTATTTACAGGTTTACCTGGTTTTGGGAAGAGGATGATTATGGAGTGTTTCCATGTCAGAGGAAAGTGAGTTGTGCGGAGGATACAGTTATATAGGTATGTGAGGAATATAATTGCTTTTTTGGGAAGTTGTCTTAGGATCTGGGAAGTAAGGAGATCGTGTCCAGGGGATTTTCGAGGTTTTAGGTTGCTTATAAGGAATTTGACCTCAGACTGATTGACAGCTATAGGAGGCAAGGAGAGAGGAATAGAAGAAGAGAGGAATTCTTTAACTTCAGAAGTGAGGGAGGAATGGAGTTCGGGGTGGGGAGTGAATGTTTTGGATAGGTGTTTGGCAAATTCTTCAGCTCTAGTCTCATCTGACGAAGCCCAGGTTCCATCATCGCATCGGAGGGGATGGGAAACAGAATGGTATTTAGGGATTTTTCTGGTCAAATTCCAAAGGGAATTGTCATCGGTAGATAGGGAAGAGAGGTAGGAGTTGTATGATTGGGATCTAAAGGAAGCTAGTTCTTTTTTTACCTGTTTGGAATAATAATTGTATATTTTTCGATCATCAGGATGCCTGGTTCTTTGCCAGAGGGTCTTAGATTGGCGTTTTGGATTTAATTAGGTCAGTAAGGTCTTGGGGCAAAGGATTCTTTTTACGGTATGTTTTGGAGGGGAATGGTAAGGATGCAGTCCAAACTGCTTGTTGGATCAAGGTGGTGTAGGAACTCACTGCATTATCTAGGTCTTGAGGGGTTTTTAGGGATACTCTGAGGTCTATTGCATCTGCTATTGTTTGGCGGAAAAGGTTCCAGTTGACTGGGCCTCTGATGAATGAGGGAGGAGATAATTTGGGGATAGAAGATGCGGAAAGAGTTAGGTTTAGCGGACTGTGGTCTGAGGAAAGGTCATCAAGCCGTAAAACTGAATAATTTAACGGCCCTAGACCTTTGTGAATGAAGAAGTCAAGGAGGTCAGGGTTACGGTTAGGATTGGTTGGCCAGTATGTAGGAGTATCAGGGGAAAGGATGTTGCTATTGTGGGAAATAAGTGCAGACAGCAATGTTCGCCCGCGGGTGTTCGTGATTCTGGCTCCCCATTGCTGATGTTTGGAATTAAGATCTGCACCTATAAGGAAATGATGTCCTAAGGAATTAAGAAAGGACATGAAGTTAGGTTCGGTTATTGCTGTTTTAGGTGGGGAGTATGCTGCAACAACTGTGACAGGAAAAAGTGAAGTTTGGATTGTTATTGCTGAGGTTTGTAGAAAATTATGTACTGGTAAAGGATAAAAGTGATGGGAGAGGGATTGATGGATGATGGCAGCAGTACCTCCATGTGCTGTTCCATCAGGATGGTCAGTTCGATAAATCTTGTAGCTAGATATGTTGAACTGTCCTTTATTAGTTAGTCGAGTCTCAGTTATTAGGACTATATCAATGTTATTGTCCTGTAGAAAAAAAGTTAGTTCATTGATGTGGTTTCGAACACCATTCGCATTCCAGAGGAGAATGGAAAGGGGTTTTATTGAGGGCATTTAAGGAATTATTGGCGGTGGAATAAGGTTAAATATGACATTTGTGAGTAAGGAGATAAGTGGTGTGATAAGAGATCTGAATTCGGAGAGGAATGTGAAATGTCACTTAATGACTTTTTGTAATAAACCGATAATATATACATCAAAATGATTTAATCAAGTATTACAATGATAAAATAAACAACCTATAAACTTTACCTTCATTTCATCTTCTACAATTATTTGGTTTAATTTATATATACATAATTAGTTAGTAACAAGTTATATTGCATATTATATAAATCACTATATGTTTTGTTAACTATATTTTTAATTATTAATGTATTAATAACTTATATTTTGCAAATGTATACAATTTAAGGAGAATGGGCAAACATTGAGAGAGCATCTACATTCCCCTTGGAAGGCTTCCTCAACTTTCTGTCTTACATTGTGCCAATCAACATTTGTGGTCAATCCCTAATCACAATGATAATCACAATCTATGATGCTGGGAAATGGATATTGCAATGAATGGTTAGACAACTTGATTAGGTATACAAGAAGAAATCATAGGCACAGATTTCAGAGAGGGAAAAGGGGTGATCTTGACCCCCAATAAAAAAAAAGAGGGCAAGAATATTGTTGCACCCAATATTTCAAAGAACAAAAACAAAATCAAAATCAATAACAATTAATCTGCATGAATGAATAAAATATGTAAACTAAAATCAATTGACAAAATAGGAAAAATCGACTACATGGCTAATCTAAGGCATAGAAGTAATTATGCAGCATAGGATGCAAGATAGGATATGTAGTCATTTATTCTAGGATTTTATGATTCATTGATGTGCACCCTTTCATATTTACGTGAATATTTTATCACATTTCGTGCTACAAATTTGAAGCATTGAAATTGAAAGTTCATCTCACTGCTTCAAACCATTAAATTAAAATAAAAATATGTAATATATTCAATAGCTTTGATAAGATATTTTCAAATATACCCATACATAAAAAAAAAATAGAAGGAAAGAGATACCTAATGTATAAACATATATAAATTTATTTTTATATATAATATTATATTGTTCATTTTACAATAGTTATGTTTATTATGTTAATTATCATACATAATTTTTATACATAATATAAACTCCCTCCTGAGACTTTTTTTTGGGGGGGGGGCATCAACCAACCAGAATGGGAAGTCTGTGCCTATAGAAAACAGTAAGACCATTCTTAACAACCTATCTCAATTCAACAAACCCAGCACAAATTTAATGAGCAATCAGGAGGACAATGGCTAGAAAGGGTTTTAAGATTTTTTTATTAGTACATTACACCATATGAAGTGTGAGACTGAGCTATTCCAAAGAGAAAATAATAGTGGCTTATGTTAATATAGCAAGACGTAGTGGTATAACATGTGGAAAAAGTACTAAACCAAACTGTTCTTGCTAAGTCGTAATAAAATTCTTCTGCAAATTGGCAGGATTACATTAAGAGATTTGAATGGACACTACACTGGTCACTGTAGATTAAAATTATATTTGTTAAATTTGATTTTACAAGCCTGAGAATGGAACTGTCTACTATATTATATTCCTATGAAGAAGAAGAAGAAAAAGTCTTTTTATTTATCAAAATTACATAATATAAATAAAAATAAAATATAATATTTTTGGATTTAAAACCGAAAATTAGATGTGCTACATGGTTTGTTGACCGTCAGAGGATATTATATTCCTATGTAACGATTAGATAATCATATGGGTCTTCCATTTTCGGTACCGAATATCTTTTTTTATTTTCTTATTGTCCATCTATTTTGGAGTCAGTATCACATGCACAAAAACTTGCAAAAGAAACAATCGGACCAAAAGAAGTGAAAGATATATAATTAGATAATTGAATGGAAGTGCATCCACTTGTGAAGATCTGCTCGAAAACGTGTTAAGTCATATTTTATCCAATTCTGTTTTGGAATTTCCATGAGACATGGTGTGGTATGTAGTGAAAACCTTATATCTCCTGTTTAGTCCTCACACTTATTTCATTTTCACTTTTCTTAAGAAACAACAAATATTTTCAGTAAAAATAACAGCCAAAAAGATTAATAAATAAATATTTATATCAAAAGTTGAAAAAAAAATTAATACCTTTTTAAAAAGGAAAATATAATTTTGATTTTTTCAAATCAATTCCTATAAGAGAAAGAATTTCAGGATGAAGTAAAAATTGTAAAATTTTTTTTAAATTTTAGTAGTTGAAAATCTGGTCATCTAATGTAAAATATACCGTTAAAACTATTTAGTTTTGCCTGAAAAGCATCTTTACTCTCATCAATAACTATTTTTTATAATAATTAACCAATAAATAATTACTTATTTTTAATTATATTATCTTAGATGAAGATTAAGAATAGCTTCTTAAAATGAAAAGAATATGTAAAGTTTGATGGCTTTCATAGTACAATGCACACTTTCTGCATTAATTTAATATCTTATATTATAATATCTTATAATTTTAAAATGTTATGCTATCATGCCTATTTTTTAAACTCTAACATCAAAGTAAATATAAATAATTTACAAGCCCATCGTCAAAGGGGGAAGGTAGGCAGGAAGAGATTCATCTTACCTGTATTTCTGGGGGACCTGAAAAAAGCTTACGAAAAACATATAAAATAAATAAATACAGTTGAAAACTTATTGAACAAATATGTATATGAAAAAAAACACTCTATTAGTCCATAATAATTAATAGCACTTACTTTTTCACACATGTATAGAATTCAGACAAAAGAAAATGTCAGTTGGTAAGAAATAAGAAACAACATTGAATTTTCACATAGACATTCAAATTTTTGCAGAAAAAAAGATAAAAAGACTTTTTTTATTTGTTACAATAAATTAGGCCATTTTTTACCAACATTTTTTTATTACGCATCAATTTAACGTTTCGACCATACTAAGGGTCATTTTCAAAACTTGATGAGTCCTCCTAATATGTTCATCCTTAATGTTCTAATTAATAAGTTCAGTGAACATTAACTTGTCAATTTTTATAGGGGCTTCGCCCACGTCATTTCTGGGACTGAAATGTGGGCGAAGCCCCTATAAAAATTGACAAGTTAATGTTCACTGAACTTCTTAATTAGAACATTAAGGATGAACATATTAGGAGGACTCATCCAGTTTTGAAAATGACCCTTAGTATGGTCAAAATGTTAAATTGATGCGTAATAAAAAAATGTTGGTGAAAAATGGCCTAATTTATTGTAACAAATAAAAAAACTTCAAGACACCAAAAGTAGGAAAAATGAACAGAAGATAAAAAGACTGTTGTGAACAAGTGTTGTAAAAAAAATAGTTTAAGCTCTACTAATGTTATCATGTAAACTGTACCTAAGTAATTATGATTAAATTTTATTATTATCATTTTATTATTTTTTAAAAAATCGTTTTATTTCATGTAAAGCAATAAATTCTTTAATTATAATTCAGTTTAATGTAGTGTTTTCATAACACCTCCATTGTTATATTAGTAATATTGACAAAATAAATAAAATATTGAGCAGGAGAAAACCTCCAATTCTATTTTGCTCAGTTGAAGGCATGTCTGTCGATGTATATTAATTATATGGCTCATACAGTATCAAAATATACTTGAACAAATCAAGATATAACTTTATAACTATTCTCATTGTATGGTAATTAACTCATAGTATCAAACCTTTATCACAAACTAAATCACCATTTACTTAAGCCAGATTTTTTTAATGAATAATGTAACAATATTTTGACTTAGAGAGTTGGATGTGACCTGGTTATTGGTTCAGAAGCTAGAGTGGACATCTGTGGTGTATGTGGTGGAGATGGTTCTACCTGCACCCAGCCACTATATCACTGGGTAGTTGAACCAGCTTCATTATGCTCAGTTACATGCGGTAATGGTAAGTGAGCTATCATAAAAAAATTAATTTTAAAAGTCATAAATAAAGTAGGGTGTAATATGTAATAGGCTCCATGGTTTTGGCACAACTACTGACGATTAAGTCATATAAAAATTAATTAATTTTAGCCAGTCCTGTCTTTCCCACATCTACTATTTCTGTTTGTCTTTCTTTCCTCTTACCTTTTCTCACTTTAAAACACACTTATATGACTAATATGTCTTTTTGATGATTGAAATTCCATTAGCTTTCTTTGTTCCTGGTCTTGACTCATTCTGCATACATTTTAAAACCACCTTAGATGAAATTTATGGAGAATATTTTGTTTAAGCCAGTGACTCTTCAACCTTCTCCCACTTTAGTACTTTTTATTTCTTATTCCTAAAACAGTCCCTTTTTGTTTTACCTACTACTCTGCCTAGGAAGTTAATTTTAGCTGATGTGTTTGTCTATTTTAACCTAACTTTCAGATTCATACATTATATACGTTGGGCCAGACCCCCTACCATGCACCCTCTCCCTTCAGCCAAATATAATAAATAATATAATCAAGATCTTTGTCCAGATTAATAACAACTTGTGAGCAAAAATAGGTAAATAATCAAGTAAAACTCCATATTTTGATAGTAGTATTTCTCTCTCTGTGGGTCAGACCCTCCTAATATGCACTCCACCTCCCACATCCCTAAAAATTGCATATTATTGAGTTCCTTGTAACTATTTATTTAAAAAAAAAAAGCCAATGTTCCCACAAATAAAAGTGAACACTATGCCCCAAAACGGTGTCTAAATATGGCGGACTGACGACCTTGACTCGAGTTAGTTATTTGATCACTGAGAATCAGCATTTAGCTTAATTTCGTCATAATTGGTCTTTTATTAAAGCTGGATAGCTAGAGAATTACACAACATAATAATGTTTTTGGTATATTATGTTGATTGTATTAACAAACAAATATTAATGCAATAATTTAACTGTCAAAAAAATTATATAATAATTATTTTTTATTCTATAGGAAGGATGTTAAAGAAGTTGTCTATTACTATAATTATAATAACACAACTTAATTCAAAAATACTTCACTGAATATCTTGAACTTTTTAAATAATGTTTATACTTTAACATTCTTTTTTTTTTATATTTACTGAATCTGGACTATAACCTCAAAGCATAAAAGTCAAATTCAAGCAATGGAAATTCAGTTTCTGAGGAGAATAGAGGGGAAAATTATGAATACTAGGATAAGAAGCAATTTAGGAATAAAACCAGCAGAAAATACTACAGAGGAAAACAGGTTACACTGGTTTAAAATGTTTGTATTTTAACACCTTATATATATATATATATATATATATATATATATACATATGCATATATATATATATATATATATATATATATATATATATATATATATATATATAAATATGCAGTATGCTGATGATCAAGTCATAATCGCATCGGATCCGGATGATGTTAGCTATATGATGAGGAAGCTGCTAGACACGTATTCCAGACGGGGTCTGAAAATCAGAGAAAGTAAAACAGAGTATATGGTTTTCAACGCTCCAAATTTGCCCCTTGAAATTGATGACTGGACGCTAAATGTCAGCCAGCAGTTCAAGTACCTCGGATACTGGTTATCTTCAAAGGGTGGTAGTGAGGTTGATATCGAACATAAAATAAATAATGGGAAAAGAATAATAAGTTCGATAAATTCAACCCTATGGAGTAAAGAAATAAGATTAGAAACTAAAAAGAAGGTATACCATTCCTTTGTAGAAAGCGTAGCCACTTACGGATCAGAAGTCTGGACACTGACAAAAAAGATGGAAAATAAGTTGCTTTCCATGGAAATGGATTTCTGGAGAAGAGGCTGTGGCATATCCAGAATCGAGCGGATCCCAAACGCAGCTATTAAAGACAAGGTCGGATGTCAAAAGAACATCCTTCACCTGATCGGGACCAAACGGTTAAAGTGGTATGGCCACTTAATGCGGATGGATGAGAACCGCTGGCCAAAGAAAATTTATAACTATATTCCACCTGAAAGAAGGAAGCGTGGAAGGCCAAAGAAGAAATGGATAGAGGACGTGGAGGAAAGCATGGCAGCCAGAGGGCTTCGTGAAGGAGATTGGATGGACAGGGAGCAGTGGCTTTTGGGTGTTGGGGATATAACTCCTTAAGTTGTATAAAACCCAAATAAAAAAAAAAAAAAAAAAATATATATATATATATATATATATATATATATATGTATATATATACTGAATCTTAGAGGTATGTTGAATTATATGATGTACTTTTCCAAAAAAATAAGTCATATTAATACCTGTTTTAAAAACTAAAATATATACTTATTCTCGACTCTTAATGAATAGTAGTAATAAAAAAAATAATTTCATCTTTTTATTTTGTCCTGTGGTATGGCCATATCATAAACAATTAGGTAATTCTATCTTCACAAAGAATGATGGAAATAGCAAAGTTTAATGTTCTTCTAGGTAACCGAAACTAATTGTTAGTAGTTGTTCTCAATATAAGAGAAAGCGTGAAAGTGAACCCAAATATTGGAAAAATACATTAAGAGAACGAGGAAAGAACCCCCAAAATCTGTGAAAAGAAAACAAGTATCCTTATCCATTATTTGGCTGAACGAATATATAATAGACAGAAGAAGAGACTATTTCAAGGAGATGCTAAAAGAGAGCCAGAATTTTCACTTCGAAGCAGGTTATAGAGAGGTCCATTGAGAAAGGAAAATAGCTCTCCTTCCGTTTAGTGAATTTGGAAAAGACTTTTGACGGAATCAGAAAGGAGAATATAGAATAAGCTCTTCTGAAACACAAGTAGATATTGGCACTATCCAAAGTTTGAGGCACTAAGCAGATTGAGAGCTACTTCTCTTTCTCAATGGATTTCTCTATAATCTAGCTCAGAATGAAGATGATGCAACTTGACTTTCTAAATCCATATCGTTCAGACAATTGACAATAATTCTTTTTCTAGCTTCTATGATTTTTGAGTAGAGCTTCTTTGGCACTCTGAATAGAGATATATCTCGATGGGTATTACATTTTTGTTATCTCCTTGCTTATAAAGGGACACAATTATAGTCCTATAGTATCATTTTCTAATGGCATATTATTGAAGGCATAAGATTGAAAACAAGGATCTTCACCTTTGTTGTCTTTGTGAGAGCAACATTTCAAGTTACTTTGTCCAGGCCTGTTGTCTTGTCAATTGCTTCGTACAATTCTTCCTTGCTGATAAAATCGTCTTTATTTACCAGAATAAATCTCCACCATCTCCTTAATCTAGTCTGAAGTCCACAAGCATCTGACCCTCTTTTAGAAGTTCCTGATCACTTCTTGAAATACTCTCTTCATCTGTCTACTAAATATTCGTTCAGCCAAATCATAGATAATGATACTTGTTTTCTTTTCAGAGATTTTGGCGATTCCTTCCTCCTTCCCTTAATGTTTGTTTCAATTTTTGGGTTCCCTTTCGCGCTTTCCCTTATATTGAGAACAATTAATATCAATTAGTATCAGTTACCTAGAAGAACATTTAGATTTGCTCTTTCCATCATTCTTTGAGCAGAGAGAATAAAGCATTTATTATTAAAATTACCTAATTGTTTATGATATGGCCCCACCTTCTTCTTCTTTCTCTATCTCCTTTGTGCTGTTAAGTGTGGACCAGTCTCGGTCCACCTTCGGTATGTGTCCCTATTCTGTGCCTTCCTCATTTATCTCCCCCAGGGTGAACTCCCGCTCTCGTTCGAATCTATCCATATAACTATTATATGTGATCCTCGGGAGTCCAACCAGTCGCAGTCCCCTTGGTCTGGCCTCTATCAGCCACCTAACTCTACGCTCGTCCCCCATCCTGCAGATATGTCCATACCACTTGACACTTACTATGACATCCCTTACATGTCTAACTCCAAGGGAATTTCTAACTGTCCTGTTCCTCACATAGTCTCATCTCGTCTTTCCAGCAACTCTTCTGAGATACCTCATTTCTGCTGACGTCACTCGTGAGGCATTCTTGTCCCTGAGTACCCAGCTCTCAGCACCATATAGTAGGACCGGGAGGAAGAGAAATTTAAAGATGCGAAGCTTAGCCTCTTTGCTTAACTCTTGCTTACCCACCAATGTTCTGGAAATTTGGAAGAAGACCTGGTTAGCTTTACGCACTCGATGCATAACTTCTTGGTCCATCTTCCCATCCCGACTGAAGACATTTCCCACATATTCATAAATATATACTTGCTCCAGTTGGTGTCCTTCCCACACAATCCTGAGCTCTGCCTCCTCCCGTCCTACATAATCCCGTCCTGCATAATCTTGCTCATACTAGAGTTGATGGCGAGTCCTCTTCTCTTAAGCTCCTCGGACCCCTCCTCCACTGCAACTTGCAGAGAATCCTCATTGTCTGCTATCACCGCAATGTCGTCTGCATAAATGAAGCACTGGGTCTGGATGGGCAGCATATTCCAATATTCAATGATTACTCTGTTCTTGTATACAGTTATAATTAAATTTTCTTCCAATTCCTCAGGTATAGTCCCAGAGTTCCATATCCTCTGAAACAGGTTCTGTAATGCTTTCATCAATGCTGGTCTTCCAAACTTTACAAGTTCTGTTATTATGCCATATTTCTGCAGCTTTTCCGAGCTTGATATGTGCCACTGCATCCTCCACCTCTTCTTCTTAGATTGTGACATCCATATCCTCAGGCTGTATGTACACTGTCCTCGGGCAGTGTCTTCAATCCATTATTCGGTCACTTCTGCACTCCTCCACTGAGAATTTTGTCTCATAGTGTTTCCACTATACCTCCAGAATCTCCTTCTCTGCCGTTACTAGTTGACCTTGATTATCATTAATGTTCTGGACCTGTTTTCCATTCTTCCCTCTCATGCGTTTCACAGTAGTTCAGAACTTCCGGATATTCTCCTGGTAATTTTCCTCAATCCTTTCTCAAAAATCTTCCAAGGCATTACTCCGTGCTTGGTTCACGGTTGCTTTTGCAATGTTTCTCCTTCTCATGTATACTTCCCGGTCCTCAGGTGATTTATACCTCTTGTAAGCCGCCCAAGCCATTTTCTTCTCTTTCATCACTCTGACAATTTCATCATTCTGGTGCTTGGCCTATTCTTCTTCATTCTGCAGACCTCCACACCAGCTTTACGGATGCAATCTCTGATTGAGCTCCATAAGGGATCTAGTGTCATGTAATAATTGACATACTCCAACTCCTTTCCCAGATCTTCCATATATTTCTGCCTTTTATTTTCCTGTCACAGAGTTTCAACTGACCTCCTATCATATGCCTTCCTCTTAACTTTTGTAGGCTTTATAATCATTGTGTCAGCAACAAGGAGATTGTGTTCTGTCTCCAGCTCTGCTCCTCTAATGATTTTTATGTCCATAAGGTACTGCTTGAGGTCTTTAGTATAGATGATGTAGTCAATGATGCTTGAACCTACTTGTCCTTGAGCTTCAAAAGTTACCTTGTGAATCCTCTCATGGTTAAAGAAGGAATTTCCTAGGAGAAGGTCATTTCCAATGCAGAAGTACAGAAGGTTCTGTCCATTGCTGTTCATTGTATCTTCCCCTCCAAATCTACCTATCACACCATGTGACCGATTATGATTTTTTCCGGTTCTTGCAATATTTTCTTCTTCTTAATCAATTCCTCTTCTACTGAAGATCAGTGTATAGGACCCTGTTTATTGAGCCTGATCCATTTATCTCGCTCTTGCACCAACTGACTGCTTCTATTCCTCTCCTATCGAAATCCTCTCTGACTGAACCTTCACAAGTCTTTCTGGGCCTTCCTCTTGGCATTCTTCCTTCCACTTTTACTTCATATATAGTTTAGGCTATTCTTCCCGCCTGCATTCTTTTGACATGGCCAAACTAGTGTAACCTGTTTTTCTCTATTGTATTTTATGCTGGTTTTATTCCCAAATTGCTTCTTATCATTGTATTCCTGATTTTTTCCTTCCTAGTTTTTCCTCTATCCTCGTCAATGAAACCAAATTTTCATTGCTTGTATTTGGATTTTATGCTTTGAGGTTATAGTCCAGATTCAGTAAATATATAAAAAAGAATGTTAAATTACAAACTTTATATAAAAAATTCAAGATATTCAGTGAAGTATTTTTGAATTAATTTTTGTTATTACAATTATATCATGTTTGTAATAGAGGCCTTCTTAAACATCCTTCGTACAAAATAAATAATTATATAATTTTTGAACAGTTAAATTATTGAATTAATATTTGTTTGTTAATACAATCAAAATAATATACCAAAAACGTTATTTTAGCTCTATAACTATGCCATTTATAAGTATTAAATGATGTGGCAGAGACCTGTACAGCTTTTTCGCCAATTAAGAACATTTTCTACAGAACTGTTTCAAATATTTAAAAAGTAATCAGTGTTTTAGAAAGAAAAATGTATTTTTCAGGTGTTTTATATCATGGCATTTTTCGTCATTGTTGACTGTTTAGTTACAAAGACGCTTGATTTTCAACTTGAAATTTATTTTGTTGAAAAATTTGACTTTACTGGAGTTTTCATTTCCTGGGCCATTTTTTTTTTTCATATTGTATTATTCTCTGACTATCCAGTTTTAATAAAAGGCCAACTATGACGAAATTAAGCTAAATGCTGATTCCCGTGACCAAAAACTAACTCAAGTCAAAGTCGTCAGTCCACCATGTTTAGAAGCCATTTTTCACTTTTTTTGTGGGAGCAATGGCTTTTTTTTTTAATAAATAATTTCAAGGAATCCCACAATATACCATTTATAGGGATGTGGGGGTGTAGTGCATGTTAGGGGGGTCTGGCCCATAGAGGGAGAAATACTACTATGAAAATATGGAGTTTTACCTGATTATTTACCTATTTTTGCCAACAAGTTGTTATTAATCTGAACAAAGACCTTGTTAACATTATTTATTATATTTGTAATAAATTTGTCTATCCTCCTATAGTTAATAATTACTGTTCCTCAAGAATAGAATAAAATTCGAAATACATAACCTCTCATTAGTATACAGGCAGGAATAACAATTAAATAATCTTTGCAACAAAAGATATAAAAAAAAATACAATAAACACTAGTGCACCAGGATTTTATTGTATTTAGTGTTTATTGTATTTTATCAAAAAAACAATAAACACTAGTGCACCAGGATAATGAAATTAACACTATCTAAACTTGCTAATTCATATATATCACTCAATATCTTGATGACGATTTGAGTACTTGATCATACTAAGTTTGTCTATAGGGTTATTTTTGTAATTGGCTATATTGATTTCCATGCCTTTTTATAGAAGTTCTCCTGCCACTATACTATGACTTACTGTATTTTGTCTTAGTTAAGGATTGGTGGAATAGTAGTGAAAAGAAAACTTGTCACATCTATAACACCTTTATTGAGACACATGCACCATCTGCTTATTAACTCACAACTATACCTCATGCTTTGTCATATAACAACATGCTATAACCTGGCAGCTGCCATCTATATCAACTTCAGTGTTACCAGTATGAATAAATCATTGATATTTTAACACTCTTCAGTATCTATAAGGAAAACTGTTAGTGATTCTATTTTCCAATTGCAATTGAGGGTGTTTTCTAAAGTACTTTTATGCTTAAGAAAACAAAAGAGTAGCAGGTTCAAACTATATCTCTACTCAACATTTTGTTTTATGAGCTCCTCCATGTATACATTTTATACTTTTAGATTTTGATAATGGGAGTTGATAGTATCTATTAATGTTCCATATATTTCTTAGGAACTGAGTCAAAAGTGGATTTTAGGAAAAAATAAAATAATATTAATCAAATAATGAATACACCATTAATATTTTGTATGAATAATTTAATAGAAATAAAACGTGGTATTAATAATTCATTTCATGGTTTTCCTTTTTTAATATCAATTTGTTTTTTTATTTAACACCTCTGCCATTGGCTATTAGGCCATTCGGCTACTGGCAGCCCAATACGATTCCACCATTTTTTTAAATAAGCTCAATAACTAATTAAATTTATATAAATAACTCCAAATATTTTTATTTCATTAATTAAATCTTACTTTCATTTTTTTCTTCATTTCAGGCTATAAAATGTCTCAAGTTCTATGTCGAAACATCGTCACTGGTCATATAGTAGACTCCCAATTATGTGATGAATCGCAGAAGCCAGAAACAAAAATGATAGAATGCAACATTCATCCATGCCCAGCCAAGTTTGTATTTATACAATTTACATATCAGTTTTAGTTTATGCTTGAATTTGAAATAGGTAAACACATTATATCATTTAGTTAGGCTTTAGTAGAGGTGGAGAAGGCTGGTTTGGGTGTTCAAAGATCTACAAGGACTATAAAGACAATTGTAAAAAATAATAAGTAGTTGTTTATTAATATTTATTTTTTATCTGTTTTTGAATAAAATTTAACCCATATGCTCTATAATTTAAACTTAATTTTTCTTAATTACTATGGTATTTTGGAGCCGCGGTGGTCGAGAGAGTTAAGATTCTTGTAAAAATACACTTACCGTGTAGAGTCTTTTTGTTTCAATTTTTATCAAAACAGAAAAGTCATAAGTTCAAATCCTGTTCACGAGAACAAAAAAAAAATAATAAAAATGGTTTAATATCACGATAATTAATGTGTATGTACCAAGCGAAGATAAAGATGACGAGGTGAAAGATGATTTCTACGATCAGTTGGAAAATATTGTGAACCAAGCTCATGAGCATGATATAAAATTATTCATAGATGCCTTTAATGCAAAAAGGATGCGAACCCCAATTCAGACTCATTATCTGAGGCTAAAGCCTTCACAAAAACAGCAATGACAATGGAATGAGATTTATCAGTCTGGCAGCAGGTAAAGGTCAAGTCATCAGCAGTAAAATGTTCCTACACAAGAATATCCACAAGTACACCTGGATTAGCCCCAAAGGAGTAAAAAACCAAATAGACCATGTGCTGGTACATAAGAGAAATCAGAGCTCAATACAATATGTAAGAAGCTATCGTGGAGCAGACTGTGATTTTGATCAATCTCTGATGAGAATTAAACTATATCAGAGATTGAAGCCAATTCATACAACAGGAGATCGAGTGAAAAGAAGGAGGTAAGAAGTAAAAACCAAATTTCAACTTGAGCTAAAAAATAAATTCGAACCCTTGAATTCAGACAGCCTCATGGTGGACCACCACTGGGAGGAAATAGAGAAAGGACTAAAAGAAACAGCTAAGGAAGTGATCGGTATTCAGGAGAAACGAAAAGCTAAGATATGGTTCACAGAAACATGCGAAAAGGCAGTAGAGGAAAGAAGAAAAAATGAAAGTTCTCTGCCTAACCAGAACTGATCAAGTTGCTCAGGAAAAGTACACAACTGCCAAGAAGAAGGCATACAAAACTATAAGATGGCAAAAAGGGAATTTCTCAAAGAAAGATTACAAACATTTGAGAACAACTGGCAGGATGGAGATTTATGCGAATTCTACGCAGACATTAGGAAATAAAGGGTAGGATATAAAGCTAAAAATACACAAATGCCAAGAAAAGATGGCATTATGATGGCATATAGACCATACCTTCCTATACCAAGCCATTAGAACACGGCGACCTGCTTATATTCTACAGATCCTACAATTCAAAAGTTCCTTTCAATCCTGTCCTACCAGATCCCGTGTGTCCGACGTCCTCCTCCTCACCGAACTGCTGCATTTGATAAATCCTTTTTAATACAAGTTGTCTCCCTCTAGAACTCTATACCTTCAGATATTCGACACTCAAAATCAATATCCTCTTTCAAATCTCTCCTCTTCAAATACCTACTCCATTCCCAATCCGATTGATCTCGAAATGCACTTAAAAACCTAAGCTGTAAAAACCTCAAAGTACACCAAGATACTCTGATTATTTTGTAATTCATCGATATTTCATTTACTTAATTACTTTCTCTGTATATTTCACATTTACACGTATTTATATCTTTTTATCATTTATAACTTTATTGTACTCCGAATCAACCTGTAAATATTAAATTGTATTTTATGGACACACCAAAATATTAATATATATTCTGTATTTGTAACTTGTTCTAAAGAGACACTAGTCCCAGAATAATAAAATTATTTTCATTCATTCATTCATCTAAAGAAAGTATATTAAAATTATGGAAAGAACATTTTTAGGAACTTCTCAATCAAGGAGACCCAACGAACAAAGAAGACATGGACCACACTGAGGACCTTAACTAGAAGAGGTTGGAAAACCAGATAAACTGGATGTAGAAATAGCAATCGAAAGGCTCAAAACAAGAAAGGCCCGAGGGATGGACAACCTACCATCAGAACTTTTTAAAGATGGAGAAGACCACTTAAGAGCCAAGCTACTACAACTAATCCAGAAAATATGGGAAGAGGAAAGGATACCCGAGGCTTGGAATATGGGCCTAATCTGCCCTATCCTAAAGAAAGGCTCCGTATACGAGTGTAGTAATTACAGAGGCATAGCACTCCTTCCATTTGCCTACAAGATAATGACCAATATCCTACTAAACCGAATATATCCGTATTACGAACCAAGCTTGATTCAGAAAAGGGAGGAGCACGCTTGACCAGATCTTCATCCTAAAACATGTACTCGAAAAATGATGGGAAGTAGCTCAGGACGTTCATGCCCTATTTATCGATTTAAAAGCAGCCTATGTTTCTGTGGACAGGAGCAGTCTTTGGAAAATAATGACTGAACTGGAAGTTCCTGGTAAGTTAGTAAGATTGACAAAGGTGTGTACAAATGACCTCAAATGTAGAGTCCTAATACAAGGAGAAGTATCTGAAGCCTTCAAAGTTCAAACGGGCTTAAGGCAGGGAGATGGACAATCACTGATGTTCAACTTAGCCCTGTAGAAGGTAATAAGAGCAACATCCCAGGAAAATGGAGGGGGCCACGTCGGAATGAATCATAAAATCCTTGATGATATAGCTGTCCTTGGAAGTAATCAAGAGGACGTTGAGAAACTCGCTACAACTCTGATAAGAAGTGGGAGGGGTGGACGAATGGGCTAAAGCGTGTGCACTGCACCGCCGTTGCCTGGCAACCTGACATATGTATCAAAGATATAAAAATGTCATGAGTTCACGTCCCGGTGCCGGGGGAGTCTTTTAAATCCCCGCCCACACTCCCTGGCCCGGGAAAATCCCGTATAGCCTTAATGGCGAGGAAGGGAAGTTTACTTATTACCATACTCAGTACACTTCATATCAAACTACTCTCTCTCCAGTTGGCACAAAGTGGCAATATCAGGACAAGATGAGGCTCATATACCAGATTGGTTTCTCCCAACAATAACAGTACCCTTTATAGAGAAACTTAAAAAAAAGTAATATTTACTTTTTTTTTGTTTTACAGACTTTGTTTATCATTGGTTACCTGAACCAGCCCACTCCACTTCTTCCAAACTTGGGCTACTACTTTCCAGTCAGCACGCAGCTCTGCAACAACTTTTTTAATTCTATCTCTCCATTTGGTTTTTGATTTCCCATGTGGTCTCTTGCCAACTGTTATATCAATCATTATTGTGTAAAAGCTTCCTGATGGATCACTTCAAACTACATATCTTGATCATCTTAACATCATCACCTTCTTATCATGTGATATAGACTGACCAGTTTCTGTAATCAGTTCTTTATTGATATTCTGTTTTTCTTAATGGAAATTTATTGGAATATTTATATATTTTTCTTCTTTATTGCACAAATTTAATTAGACATTTATTGAGATTTTTTATCTAATGTAAGTACCTTTGAAAGAGGAAAGAAAGCTCTATTTGTGCTTATTATACACTGGTATATTCCTCATAGTTGGTCATTTAATGAGGTTACTTTGGAACTGTGGTATTTGAATTTTTCTACTCTTAAGAAAGTTTTGTTGATGTTGATTTATTTTATTCATATCATATATAATTTTTTTTATCTTCATTTATTTGTAGGTTAATTGCACTGTTCCTTTGATCTTTGCAAGTTTCTCAATCTTCTCTTCATTGCTTCCAAGGACAGTTGTATAATCCGCACATATTAATATTTATGATTAATTACCATGTACCTCCCTCTATTATAACCTAATATTCTTTTCTGGGCCAGCATAAGAGAGAGTAGTTGGGATCTGCATTTAAGATCATTTGTACATGCCTTTATCAATCTCACCAATTTCCTGGAAACTCTAATCTTAGTCACTTTTTTTAAGGCTATATGGGGATTTCCTTGGGCCATGGGAAGAGGGCAGGGGATTAATGCTAGAGTTAAAAGCTTCAATGGCACAGGGACGCGAAATTGTAACCAATTTATAACTAATAACTTCAGTTTATCAATCATCTGGTTGCTGGGCAACGCGTGTTATGCATACACTTCCAAATACATTTTCTGTCAATGGAAACATAGGTTGATTTGAAATCGACAAATAAGGAAGTACATCCTGAGCTACTTCCCATTTTTAAGAATTAGTTTCAGGATGAAGATCTGGTGTAGTGTACTCCTTCCTCTTCTTAATACTACTTTGAGTTTGTATTTTTTATTTTCATAATAGGAATGTATCTGGTTTAGCAGGATCTTGGTCATCTTATCAGCAACCAGGAGTATTATCTTTCTGTAATTACTCATACATAGAACCCTTATTTAGGATAGAACAGATTAGGCCTGTGATCCAAGCCTCTGGTATCCTTTCCTCCTTCCATATTTTCTGGATTAAACTAGTGTATATGGCTCTGAGATGTTCTCTCCCATATTTGAGCATCTCTGATTATAGGTAGTACATCCCTGGGGCCTTCTTGTTTAAAGCTTGTTGATACTTATTTCCACATCTAGAATATCTGGATTTTACTTGATTTAGAAGCTCCTGTGAATGCATATATATATAAAATTTGAAATAATTATTCTAACTGAGTAATAGGTCATTTATATTAAATCTAAGTGTCTTATTACCCGATTAGTTTAATTATTTTAAATTATATTATTTAAGGGTAAATTAAAAAAATTGTAATATATATATTTATGAACACAATTATAATTATATATTATAAATGTGTACATTTAATGTTTAGTCTCATAATGGCACATTAATAGACATAATTGAATAATCCTAATCCCTAATAATTTCAATTTCTACTATCAAGTCATTTTCTTACTGTTAATTCTTAAAAGGATACCTCATTGTTTTATTGTAATTATTTTATTTATTTTTGCTACTCTTGATTAATTTCTGTTTTATTGTATTATAATTATTACATCTCACTTACACATTCTCTTTATTCACTATTAATAACAAGAATGAAAACAATTAATTATGACTGGTTTACAATATTGGGGGGCCCGGAACATGCTATATGACCGGTAGCCCTTTTCTTGTAAGATAAAAAAAATGAAGATTTTGATAGAAGGAATATTTGTGATTGAAATTATTGTTAACGTCTGCCCATTATTTTAATTGTTTAATTTTATTTTTTGCTTCAATTTAACTCTATATCTTAGCTTTTTTCTTACGTTAAATTAAATTTTGTATTAAATTTAATTTAATGTAAAAAAATAAGCTAAGATACAGAATTAAATTGAAGCATGAAATAAAATTAAACAATTAAAATGATGGGCGGCCGTTAACAATAATTTCATTCACAAACGTTCCTCACCCGGGGCACCATATGTACAATATTGGGGGCCTGGTACATGCTGGCATATATGACTGGTAGCCCTTTTCTTGTAAAATAAAAAAAATGAAGATTTTGATAGAAGGAATATTTGTAAATGACACTACTTGTTATTTTGTTAATTTCCTTTTATTGTATTTTCAAATAATCTCCCTGAAGGGGCAATTATTTTTATTATGTTAATATATGGAGAATTAATGTGACATACAATTGTTTGCGGATGGCCGGTCTGAGGTCCGTAGATTTGTTGCCTCTCTCCTATGCCGCTGCTGTCCCCTGGGCCAGTCTGCTACACAGCAGAAAGGGCTGTGTCTTCTCCAGTGTTAGCTGCAAGCTGTTCCTTGATAATGTTGGCAGAGCGAGTGGGGGTTCAGGCTATCTCTGCTGAAGTCGGCTGAGCTAATGAGCATGAAGTCGTGTGCTTAGTCAAGCACCTGGACTTTGGTCGTAGATAAGGCATCTCGTCCTCAAGAGGAAATAGGACAAGATGAGACCAGGGGTCCCCTTGTTATTTATACAAGACAACTTATAATATAATGCTAAATGTTACAAACAATAAAAATTATGGATGTAAATCAAACAACTGATGTGTATGATTTTATGCCCCCAAATAATTAAGTGCATTTAATTCAGGAGATAGAACTTTATATACGGCATCTCCAGTACTTGCTATTACTAATTATTAATTAAACTTATTAATAATTATTGATATAACAGTGTCTCTCATGTATGATGCAGTATTATTCCTTTCATAGATCAATTTAATCTTTTGCCTTTCATAGATAGATATTTGCCTTTAGGGGACATTTATAACTCTTTTTACATTCAGTTAACTATATCAGCAAATTTATAATAAGGGAAATAACCACATTTTTGGGTCTTCTGAGACCAAATAACCAAGTATTGCACATTGTTTCATGTGTGAATGTTTGTACGTATGCAATGATGTTTCCAAAGGGAAGAAGGCTTTCGGTTTTAAGCCCCTCAAAATAGAGTCAGTGATCTAAGCTAATTACTTACACAATAAGTACTTTTTAAAAAACTATTACATGTAAACAGTTACTAAATTTAATTACATTTTAAATTATCCCTAAGCACTATTGTTCCTGAAATTACCGATATCTTTTTTTTTTTTTTACCGTACCTTAAAGAACAACTTGAATATAATTTTATAGTTTCTTTCTCTTTATTTTAAAGTAATTACTATTAAAAAATGCCCCTCCCAAAATTATATCCTGACTCCGCTACTTTGTGTGTATCTGTTTGTGTATAGCTGAACAACAGATCTCAAAAACAAAAAGTGGTACAAAATGTAAATTACGTATTTAAGGAACGATATAGCTATAATCTTACAACTTTTTTTATCTCAATTGACTGACTGTAGTTGACCCTTTATTTCATTGATTTTACACATTTTTACAATTTGCTCAAAGTTAACAGAAACGACTTTGATAAAACTCATTATATCAGTATATAACTAGTATATATTATATCGCTATCACATTATATATTACATTAAATGACCTTTAATATCAGGTATGTATCAACTCCATTAATTTATGATGACAGAGCTTAAATGTCGAATTTTCGAAATTTCTTCCCCTGATGTATCTTTAACTTTATTTATTTGAAATAATTACCTGCCTCACGTTGTCAATAGTAACAAAGATTGTATAAATATAACCTATGAAAGAAATTAGTAATTAACCTATAATGGCCTGGTGACCACGATCTATTGAAGACAGTAAGCAAAGTCAAGATCTCTCATAAAATGCTGAAAATGATGCATGATACTACCATCAGTTTGTTGCGAAAATTCATTAAAAAGTTAATCACTGGGTAATCTTATGAATTTTCATCTGTGAAAGAAATCAAATCATTGTTTCACTTTCTATTACTATTTTTGACATATAATAGAGTTTGTGTTATTTGTTTGCACTTGATCAAAATTCAGAAATATGTACATAAAACTTTTGCTGCATCAAAATTGTACTTAGTGAATTTTTGCTATAAACCGAGGATATAAATATATAGTGGAGAAATAAATTAATTTTGTGCTTAAAATAAAAACTTTAAATACACAAGTAATTATGTAGGTAGGTTGCTATGTATTGAGTGAGAAAAAAAAAGATATTGCTGGTTTAACACTGTCTTTAGCTTAGAAGTAAACAAGAAATTTTTCCCAGGTTGAAAACAAACTCCTGAAATTAAAAATAAGAGGTACTATCTATTTATAACATACCATTGGAAAATTAAAGATTTTAGAAGGATTAAAATTGAAGTCGTAAGTCATAAAAGTTAATGGAGAATGGCAAAAAATGAATAAATTTAACAGATTAGGTACGTGGGAAAAACATATAGTAATTAATTCTTTGAAGTCCGTATGTTGTACCATTTATAATTTTTACTTTCACTTTTCTATCTAAATTTGAAAATACAAACCTATTCCTACTCAAAAGTAGGTTGGTATGTGAAAATTGTGTTATGCGCGCCGCACCAGATTTCTTTATTTATTTATATGACTAAATGCATGTTGATCCTGCTAGTTTTATTGTTTGTTTGTTTGTTTTTTCGAAAATTAAAAAAAAATTAATATGTAGTCATTGTTAAATGATTCTGAATTGTTACAGATGGGTAGGAAGTAGTTGGAGCAAATGCTCTGTTAGTTGTGGAGGTGGATCAAGAAGTAGAACATTCAGCTGCATGAGAAAAGCAAACTCTACTCTAACAAAGGCATGTAATATTTGTAGAAGTACTAACAGCATTAAGGAAAATGTATTGGTGTAGTGTTTCCTTAGAAAAATATGTTAGTACTCTCTATAACAATACATTATTAAGCTCAGTGAAATTGTCATTTTCTGATCAAGGCCACATTTTTGTTGATCAGATAGTTAATGATTAAGGATTATTCATAGCAGAAACTTATATCATCAATATAATTTTACTTTGGCATAATATTTTTCATTAAAAATCTATTATACTTTAAAACATCCATTAGATAACTCACTGTCCCTTTCAATGCCAATGATATTGTAATTTGCAATACACACATGTGTATATTATACCTAGTTCTGCCATAAATACTGTTACAAAAGTTGAACTTTGTTTACATCCTTTTTTATTATTTAGATAATCCTTACCTCTACCAGGTTATTTTCTTTACATTCGCTCAATTAACATAGAGCGGGGTGATAAAGAAAACCGAATAGCTGTGATTGACTTACACAAAGTTGGAAAATGTAGGTCATAGATTTTCAACACTTTGAAACCTTTGGGTATCAGCCGTATGTTTCTGTACTGCACTATAAATAGATATAATGAGAACCTATCTGTATGTGACAGACCTCAACCAGGTCGTCCCCGCACTATGAGAACAGCAAATGCAGTGAGAGCAGTGGCTGCTTGAATCAGAAGAAATCTCATTCGAAGAATGACAGGACAAAGGCTAACCACTTCCCTAAAACAAATTAGAGGGGATAGATGCAAAGAGCTCCTGGGTCATTACACCAATGGTCTTCTTCAAAAGATTTTGTTTAGCGATGAGAACATTTTTACAATTGAAGAAAAATTTAATCGCCAAAATTATCGTGTGTATGAACACAGTTCTAAAGAAATCCAGGAAGTCATTGGATGAGTGGAAAGAGGTCATCACCCTTCCTCAGTGATGGTTTGGTGGGGAGTTTGCTTTGATGGCACCACAAAGCTCCATTTTTGTGTAAAAAGAGTTAAAACAGTCGCTAAAAACTATCAGGACGATATTTTCGAACCTGTTGTCAAGCCTCTAAATGATATTCTGTTTGCTGGAAGTCATTAGGTTTTCCAGCAGGATTCCGCTCCACCTCACAAGGCCTGGTCAACACAGCAGTGGCTGCAAAAGAACATTCCAGAGTTCATCCCTGCCTCGGATTGATGGAAGCCCTGATCTCAATCCACTAGATTATCAGCTTTGGTCCAAACTGGAGAGGATGGCATGCCACAGAGCACACCTTAACTTGGAAAGCCTCAAGCAATCTCTGGTCTGAACAGTTGAGCGCTTATGCCTGGATTAAATGCCTGTGTCAAGGGAAAAGGGGAACATTTTGAGTAATTTCTTTTTTGTTTTACTCTCTATAGATACACATTTTATTTTCTAATTGAGTTTTTGAAAAAATTAATTTTTCTGTTGAAATCTGTATATATTTCCTTGTAACAATATCTATGACAGGACTATCTCATTTAACATCATGTTATTTCTTAAAAATTGTATAGCAAAGATCCCAGCCATGAACACTAATGTAGAAATTACTTGTCCCTCTGTTATTTTAATTTAAAAATTCACTTGAAATTCAATCTTGATTATCAATTATTTAATGAAATTCAGACTTAATGTAATAATTTATATATGTGTCATGATTATAACTATCATATATATATTTTTTTTTTGTGCGTTCGGAGCTTTTTATTATTATTAGTAGTAAACCTAGATGCATCGAATTACCTGAGTTATCTGAAATGATTTATTCTCTTATTTATTTCAAGTTAATACACTTTAATGAAATGATAGGTTCCTAGCACAAGCTTAATTAGCAATTTGGTTTGAACAACATTATGGCATTAGTCTGATTTTTTTTTAAGTTCATAAATATCAAAAATATACAGTAAGATACTTAATGATATTTTCTTGTATCAATTATAAATACATATACATATACATATATTTGTCCATTTAATATATTTTCTTATTAATCATTTTTTGTATGTTCTTATTATTTTTATTACTCATTATGTTTACAACAATTTATATCAAAAAAGTAATTACACAGAAGACAATCAATTTTTCACTGGTGAAATGTTTCTAAATTTATAAAAAGCAATGGAATAAAATACTTTTTTTACTTTAAATGATGTGAAATGTTTCTGTACAATAATTAAGAAAAACTAAATTTTAGGATTTTAACCAAGAAAAACTTTCACTTATATTATAGACAAATTATAAATTAAAAAAAAGTCTTGTTGTTATTCAATTCATTATTGTTATTTCAAAGTTATTCTATACAGTTTTTAAAATTTACATTCTACCTTCATCCTATTTCTCAAATGGTAACTCTATTCTTATATCCATCTTTACTGACATATTTCATGAGTTTACCATTATTTTCCTTCTATTTCCCAGCCAACTTAATGTAAATAGAAAGTGTATCTGATATTTAATAGATTTTAACTTTAGTTTCTCTCCTTAAGCTTTACATTCACTGCCTAATTTGTTATTTGCTGCCATTACTAATTATTTTTCTTGTGTAGTTGAAAATTTGTGTTTCATCAGTATTAGAATATTCTATCTTTTTGCTAATTTTATTGAAAAGGAAAACATTAAATTATTTAATGTGGGAGACAGGTCTCATATATAAGTGCTTTACAGGTTGTGTATATATCCACCATTTACAAAAAAACATAATTACTCTCATAAATCTAACATTTCAAAACTGGTAATATCTTTTACCTTATAAATACTGCCATAACTGGAAATCTATTAGAATATGTATATATTTTTTTGATTTTTTCTTTCTCATAGACTATTATCAAGTCTGAGAATACATACTCGCTTTTCTCACTAGGACTATCTATTAATCTAATTTGATCTTCTATTTAGAAAATAGAACAAACCTCCAACTGTCATGTCCCTATTGCAATTATAAGAAATATGTAAAGAAAATGATCAAAAGTATGTCTGTGTGTGTGTCAGGATGATATACCTATCTAATTAATCTCTGGCTTCGAATATGTTACAGTAGAGTCCTACTAATCTGAACTATATGTGGCTGGATCCTCTAGGATCATGTCTAGTACAAATTATACAAAATGTGCTTTAAAATTCACATAATAAGTGCCGATTTTTTCCTCATAAATTAACCTTTTCCTTCAACTTAAAATGATTTTCAATATCACATAGTTCAATGTTACTACAATACATCTCTGTGATTGGAACTCAAAATTTGTTGATTATATAGTATTACAAAATAAATCATGGTACATTAATTAATTTAACAATCAATAAACAATTATGTGAAAATTAAAACATATACAATTACTATATATATATATATATATATATATATATATATATATATATATATATATATACAATACAATATATACAAAAATTAAAACAACATAAAAAAAAATATATATATATACAAGCTACTGTATAAGTGGGCAGTTGCAGAATTTGCCAAAACACATAACTTTTTGGACTTAACATAGAGAAACCTATTCATTGTTTCCTGTTACCTGATAACATAAATATGTAAACCTGGTTTTAATCAAACCCTTTCTTCAAATTATGTTCACTGTTACAACTCACTGAACTAAATTTTTAGTTCACTAAATTTAAAAATATAATTTTTTTTTTATACTGTCCAGATGTCCAGACAATCATGTTACAAGTTAGTGGGACTCTTTGGCATTTTATATTTATATTTAATTAGTATTTCTGAAAAAATAGTTTATAAGAAAGGCTTGTGTGATCATTTTCCTAATTATACATGGTATTTTACTTGTGACAGAATGTTAAATTACTCAAATATACATTTATCATATATTTCAGTGTTTATTATTTAGGGTTTATTAACTATTAATAAGGAAACACTATTTTAAGTTTATCAATTGATTGAGGGTATGGAATATCTAATTGCATTATACAATAAATTTATTTTTATTTACATATTTAAAAAATTATGTTATGATTGATATAATTATCAATCAATTATTTGTAATATTATCCAATTAATTTTGTTTATTTTGTAAAAATATTTTCTTTTGGCTAATGTATATTTGGATTAGTGTGTAAATTTTATAAGTTAAAAATATTATGTTTGCTAAAAAAATAAATTATAGAAAAATGTATTATATTATAAGTCATTGATGTATCTACAGGTTCCAGACTTTCTTTGTAAGGGAACAAGACCTAGAGAAAGAGAGCCCTGTAACACTGTTCCTTGTCCTCCAACATGGGAAGTTGGCCCTTGGTCTGGTGTAAGTAAACATGAATATTTAAATAGAATTAATTGCTAGATAATATTATTATGATGTTCAGATTTAGTTCTGAATATTTGAATTTGGGGAGAGAAACCATTTTGCTAATAAGAGCTACAAAATTTCATAGTAAAACATGTTGAATGGTATTGATAATCACTATAGTCTAAAATCTACCTTTCCTTTCATCCTATCGAGATGCTTGAGACTATCTGAACGCTTCAAGAAGATATAGACAGTATTAATACCTGGGCAGCGAACAATGATTTAAAATTGAATGTTGAGAAGACCTAAGCCATTCTCATCGGATCCAAGCATCTGATTAACCTTATTTCTTATTATCCTCTACTCTACCTCAATGGGACCCGTATGTTTCCACACTTCCGTAAGAAACCTTGGGGTAATGTTTGATCAACGTCTAACCTGAAATAATCAAATTTCCCAAATTATCCGAAAGTCCATAGCTACCTTCAAACAATTTATGAGATTCTGTGACTCTATGCCCCTTGAAATCTGTCAGCTCCTAGTTTCCTCTCTCATTTTCCCTCACTTCAATTATGACTGCATTGTATATGGTGGACTGTCTTATGGACTTGAGATCAAATTAAAGAAGCTAATGAATTGTTTGATAAGATTTATACTTGGAGTCCCCAGGCAATCCGCTCTGTAGTAGACATCCCCCGGTATTTACTCTTTTATATGACATTGGGTGAGGGAATGAGAAGGAATATATAATATATAGGAATGTGAGATTGCACTGTGAATTGTACTCAATTGTGCAGTGGACAAATTGCTCATTGGAAAATCTCATATCGATAAACAATCGAAAATAAGAAAAAAGATCCGATCAGGTAGCAACAGATGGCGAGGACAACGCCAAACACTTTAGGCCTGGGCACTAACACAAGACGTCATCTGGGAAGAGAGGCTTACTCCATTGAAGACTAAGAATATCAAGCCTACAGTTATTAGACTTTAATATATTCACTTATATCAGTTGTCAAAATAAATTGATTTATTATATCGGAGTGAATAGTCCTTTTATTTAGTTGTCCTATAGGCCTCACAATTGAAGAATAAACCAGGTTAGTCAATTCATTCAAAGTATTTACTAAGTCCCACATTTCATATATGTATTCTTATTGTTTCTTCTCACACAGTGTCACAAAAGGTAATAGATCTCCGAATTCCCAATCACTGTTAAACACCCTCAAAAAGTCGATATCCAGTGCCATGGTTTTGTTTTAATAATTTACGAGTGTAAATAACCTTAAGCCCCGATATAAAAGCGGAAGGCTATTCACTATTCCCGCCAAAACTAATCATTTACAATTAACTTCCTGTAGGTTATTTACAGCTCCCACGTCTCCAGTTGCTATGCCGAGTTGAAGTGGCACTATCCAGTTTTCCGACAATAATATTTCCTAGGTGTATTCCTTTTTCGAACCTTTACAACCAAAAAACCTTCTTACCTTTTTGATTTCTTTACTCCTTGTTCCTCTGTTCATTCGTTCAGCACAAGATCCCAATCATCAAATTTGTTTATTGTTTCTTATAGAACTGTTTGCTTTAAAAAATTCTTCGTCATACGTGCTATCTCGTTTTGGAATTCCCTACCAACCTCTTTACGGAAGTCCTCATCCTTGACCTCATTTAAACATAAGCTATTTTTCCATCTCCACAGTAATCAATCTTCCAAATATATGTAAAATAAGTTATTTTGTACTTAAGAGATTAGTTAGTTACATTATACCGATATCTTGCAGATATCTATGTATGTGTCATATTGCTTATTTGTACAAACACGTGAACTCACCGTATGTAATCATCTTTAAATTCATATATCTACTTCAAGATCATATGTTTACTACAGTGTCTTTATTTTTAATATTAAGAATTTTTAATATTATGAAAAATTTACATGTTTCTTTATTTTAATATTAAGATTAGACAACTTTGTAAATTAATTTATTTTTAATTGTCATTTAATTATTCACAATCGCCAGACAATTGTCATTTCTCTGTTCATTGTAGTTATTCTGAGGGGACTAAATGTCCCAGAATAAAATATATTTTCTTTCTATAGAACATTTTTTTATTATTATAATTCATTAACATGTATTTAACAACCTAAGTATTCAATAATCATAAATGTGTTTAATATAAAGGAATTATATTTACTTTTAGTGCTCAGTTTCTTGTGGGGAAGGTGTTCAAACAAGATCTGTGACTTGTAAGACATCTCCATATTTTAGTACCGAAGAGAGTTTTTGTGATAAAAATCTTAAACCTGATAGCACACAATCTTGCACTACTGGCATCCCTTGTAACACAGGTATTGATAATTTGTAAATCAATTAGTTTGAGTACTGTGATGCTTTTTAATATTCATTTAAACGTCTCTGAATGGATCATAAGAAAAATAAATAAATAGTCTGTATCAAAAAACTAATAGTTATAGAATCTTGAACATTTCAAATTGAATTTGGTTGCTTTAATCAAAGTAAAAGTACCTATTTTAAAAATTTTTTGTTTGATTTTTTATACCTTATCATATATTTTCCTAATAATTATAACTTATATATTTGGAAATATTTTTGTAAAGTTTTCTCCAAATCTGGCTATTTTCATTATTTCACAGTCATTACTTCAAATAGTACTATATATTAAAAAAAAAAAAAAAATCAGTAGTCATACAACTTTCTAGGTATCAACAGTAAAACTTCTTTTTAATCAGAAAGAATAAATGAAATAAAACAAGTACATATATATAATTAAATATAGTTATTTTTGAACTATATGCATTTCCATTTTTTTTTCTTTTATAATAATCTCTAATATGTGAACAAATAATAAATAAAAACTTTAATAGGAAGGGATAATAATACTCTTCTAAAAAACAAATGATAGTTTTTTTTTTACAATAATCAATAAACTTAATACTTGCGGTAAGCTCATCTTGCCTATATCACCAATTACAAACTTCTTTTGATTTCTCGTGAATATTTTATATAATCTGATACTTTCTCTTGTTCAGTTTTGTCCCAAGCAGGAACAACAGTGATCAAGAAAATATCTATAATCTCCTAAACAATATGCCAAGAAAGCAATAGATGACACAAGTTGACTGAGAAGGTAGATGGAGGAGATTATGTACAAAACAAATCTATTGTTTTATGATTGTTTTTAATTTTACTTCACCTGTTATCTTTTTGTTTTTATAACTATTTTCTTCCAAAAAGCTGACATAAATGTTTTTACCAAAAAAAAAATATGTATGTGTATATATCTTCAATAATATATATATCCTTAATTATATATCAGCAATAATATATAAATTAACCATTTTTTTAATATCTCATCATCTTTTTATTATTTTATTCATCATCCATTTATTTTTTTAAAGGAGACAAAGGAGGTTTTCTTCATGGTTATTTACCATTTAGACCGATAGCTGAAAGGCTTATAAGTGAACCTGTTATATCATCTCTTTCTTCTAATCAACCAGAGTATGTATTTCTTTAGCTTTTAGCTCATATTTTATTAGTTTAAAAACATAAGTATTAATTAATCCTCTTTTCTATAAAAACAATTTAATTATAGGAAATAAAAATAATACTATTAACATTATCACTTTCAATTCTGAATGAAAGGTAAATGTGATATTATTACACCTAACTAAAATATATATATATTTTTTTTAATTTTTGCCAATTTTAATTTATTAATATAACAGTGAATGTACTTAGCTCAGCAAGAAATTACAAGGTGATGAAAGATTATATATTTACAATTATGTGCAGTATTTGTTGTTGAAAAACAGTTTTATGAACTTAGTCATTTTCTTTTAAAGAATTAAATTTTCTTATTGGTGGTTTGTAATTGTAGGAAAAACCTCATAAAAATATCATCACATAAACATATTTACTCTGGAGAGAAATCATGTATGATAATGAATGTGATAAGAGAGATGGATCTCTCAGTTGGCCAATGAAATAAACAATGTTGGTAGGAATTGTTAATAATGGTTTGGGTTTCTTTATTTAAGTAAAGCAGTTAATAATTCAGAGTTTATTGTGGAAAACATTAACAGCACACAACAAGCCATACCAAGGGAGAGAATTGTTATCATCATTGGTGCCATGTCTGATAGTATTGCTGGTGGAATATACAAAACTGAAATAATATTAAATAATTAATTATAACAGAAATGAATACAGGAAAGCGGTTCATACTGATCATTTTATTTGTTGTCAAATAGAATTATACTACATTTGATTCATCCCAACACTTATGCATACATTAGTGCATTAATTAAAACATCAAATTTTCATACTTTTTTCAGAAATTAACTCATAACTCCAAAATGTTGCTTCAGTGCCGGCCTTAGATATTTGGCCCCCCCCTAAAAAATTTACATTATTTTTTAAGCTGTTTTATATTATGTAATATTAGAATTTATTTCATTCAACATTTCTAATACAGTTGCTTTATTGATAGGCTAAAATTATTTATTTTAATATGTTACTTTTTTTCTATAACTTTTTTTTAATTTCTTACAAGTGGTGAGCGCCCTTAAAGATCGGCTGGTGCCCCCAATGGGTGCCCTTTCAGGTCAGCGCCTTGAAACAATTGCCCCTAAGGCCAGCAATGTGTTGTTTCTTAGCAAAAACATATATAATGCCATGGGAATGGGTGATATTAATTTTAAAAGTTATGCGAGTTCATTAAAACATATTTATTGAATCTCAAAATGCATATTTCTCATGATACAATCAGCAATTCGCAAAAAAGCTTAATGGTCAGTTATAATTCTACATCATAACTAGTTGAATCTTAAATTAAACTACTTAAATTTAATTGCTAAATTTCATTACTTGAAATCTGCAATAATAAAGATAGCGTTTTGAACACCTATTGTACTGCTGAGGGGGCGTCTGGAGGATTATAATACCATGTTTCAATATGTATAGTTAAATGAATTTGAAATATTACCTGTCATTATTTTTTTGTTTATACATATTTCAAATATAGATTGTATTTAATAATGAGCTAAATAAAACAGTTAAATTAAATTAATTAAGAGTAATGAACTAAGTTAATTAAGTGTAATTATCTATTTATCTATCACGGCGCTAAAACTTGGCAATGTGTCTTGGCACCCTCCACCAGCTTTCTTCAGTCATCTCTGTCCTGTGCGGCCATCGTCTTACTCCTGACTCTCAGGACATTCTTTGATTCTCTTGCCACACCGTCTGACCACTTCAGTTTTTGTCTTCCCCTTCTTCCAATGGCGGAGAGAAATTCTGTCAGGATCATTTTAAGGATTGCTTCATTCTCTGTCCTAGCCACTTGGCCAACCCATCTCAGTCTTCCAATCATCATTCTCAGAACAACATCTCATACATTGAAAATTGAGTAAATTTCTATGCTTGTCCGCCTTCTCCAAATTTCATTGATCTGTAATCCTCCAAATATTCTTTAAAGAATTTTCCTCTCATAGATCAGGAGGTCTTGCTCAATTTTTTTTGTTGTCGTCCATGTTTCGGATGTATATAGCACGGCTATAATTAATATTTTGTAAAGATGGAGTTTGGTCTCCATTACCTGGGCTAATCACTCGTAGTGGAGTAAAACTGATTCAGAGCAAACAAAATTGCCTCAGAAATGGACGGACAAATCGGTCACAATACAGCGCTCTAAAGGACATAAGAATCGGAACATGGAATATTAAAACATTGAATGGCAAGGAAACAGTGATCGTGGAGGAGATGAAGTCATATGGTGTGGATCTAATGGGCATATGTGAAGTGAGGAAAAAAGGGCATGGAGAAGTACGTCTGAATGAGCAACACATACTCATCTACTCTGGGGTTCCTGCAGGTTTTAGAGCAAAGGAAGGAGTGGGGATTATAATGAAAGAAAGCCTATTTGCCAAAGTAGAGGGCTGGGAACCAATATCTTCCAAAATAATAATAGCAAATATAGAATTGTCAATTGGTAAAGTAACTCTGATTCAGATCTACGCACCAACAGAAGATGCAGATATTCTAGATAAGGAACAATTCTATACAGATCTGGAAAAAGAAGTCACAAAAGGGCAAAACAGAAACATAATTATAACAGAGACATAATTATAATGAGAGACTTCAATGCCAGAGTTGGACGGGACTATACAGTCGGACACAGAGCCATGGGTTATCATGGTTGTGAGCACACAAGAAATAGAAATGGGCAAAGGTTTATAGATTTCTGTGTTGATTATGACCTACTCATTGGATATTCTTTCTATCCACATAAAAGAATCCACAAAATAACGTTCTCTACAGAGGAAAGAAATGTAAATAGTATAATAGACTACATTATATACAGTCGAAGAATCAGGAAACTGTTTACGGATTTCAAAGTAATCAGAGGTGCCGAAATAGGCTCAGACCACATAGGCTCCTATAAGAGATACTCAAATTCTCTCTCCCAAGAAGAAGTGGCCCAGAAGCTATATGAAAATTAACATTAAGAAACTTCAGACACCTGAAAACAAAGAGAAATATAAAGAACTTCTTAATCACAATATCCAGGAGGTCAGGGTGGATGGAAATGTGAACGTTCTGTGGGAAAAAATAAAAAATGCAATAATAGACTCAGCAACCACGACTTGCGGGATCACAAAAATCTCACCTAAAAGCAAAAGATCAGAATGGTGGAATGAAAGAGTGAAGGCAGCAGTCAAAAGAAAGAAAACTGCTTGGAAAGATTACATTAGAGATAAGACTCCAGTGAATTGGGAACTCTATGTACGCAGAAGAAATGAGGCGAAGTTAGTTGTTAGAGTGGCAAAAAAGAAGAGTTGGGAGGAATTTGGGAGAAGCCTACAGAGCAACTACCATGACAATGTTAAGATCTTCTGGAAAAAAATTAAAGCAATAAAAACAAAGAAAAGTAAGCCCATAAGAAATATAAAGGATGAAAGAGGCGAATTAATCACCAGAAATAAAGAAATTTTGGATAGGTGGAAACGCCACTATGAGGACATTTTCTCAAGCAATGATGCTGACAATAAGTTGGATATGTGTGAAACTCCTCTACAAGAATTTGACGAGATAATCTGGGAGGAAGAGGTCGAAAGTGCAGTAGAAAAACTAAAGAATGGTAAGGCGGCTGGTAGGGATGGTATTGTGCCAGAATTTATTAAATACGGGGGACCTGAACTGATAAAATCCCTACAGTGTCTCTTTCAAGAAGAACTGACTAAAAAAGTTATTCCAGAGGATTGGAAATATAATGTTATTGTACCTGTACATAAGAAAGGAAATACTAGCGAATGTGGAAATTACAGACCTATTTGTCTTTCACAGGTTGTATATAAGATATATATGTCAATACTGGAGAAGAAACTTAGAGCAATGGTGGAGGAACATTTAGAAGAGGAGCAAGCTGCTTTCAGGCCTCACCGTCAAAACCAAGACCACATATATTCTTTAAGAACAATAATCGATAAGGCTTGGGAACGGAACAGAAATGTATTCCTCACATTCTTAGACATAAAGGCTGCATTCGATTCCATCCCTTGACAAGAACTATGGAAGGCCCTGATGGACAAAAATATCCCAAGAGGTTTGATACATGCTATATGGTCCACGTATCAGGACTCAAAGGGCATAGTTAGAATAAATGGAATAGAGTCCGATATCTTTGCCATGAGTAAAGGTGTTAAGTAAGGAGACAGCTTGAGCCCCCTTCTGTTCATTATATATATGGACGAAACCTTAAAGATTTGCAAACGACGAACAGCACGAACAGTTGTAGGAAAATGGAACATGAGGACGATATTGACGCAAGTAATGGTCTTTTCAGATGACATCGTTCTCATATGACCGGATCAGGAATGAAAGAGACGACCTAGGCACTGTCTCACTAAAGAATTCTATAGAAAAGAGGCAGCTGAGATGGTTCGGGCATTTATGCCGAATGAATGAAGACCGGGACCCACGAAAATTCATGGAGGCGAGACCTGTAGGAAAGCGCCCAAGAGGAAGACCCAGATTGACGTGGATAGAGTACATCTCCCAGATCGCGCAGAAAAGAGGTATGAGGATAGGGGATATGAGAGCTCTAGCTCGGGACCAAAATGCTTGGGATGCATGGATCGAGGCACCTCCACGCTGAAAGGCACAAAGGAGGTAGAGAAAGAAGAAGAAGAAGAAGAAGGAGTTTGGTCTCCTGGGATGGAAGGCGAGAGGTCGATTCCTTGTGAAGGGCAAAGTAACAATTGTTGACCATCAATATTATTTTCTGGACCACTATTCCCCAGTGACCCCAAATACTTGAACTGCGCCATTTTCTCAAAGTTAGAGGAGCCAACATTGATAGTCTCGCCAGGTTGGGGCATTTCTCCTGTGGCTATATATTTAGTTTTTCCTTTATTCACCTTTAACCCAAGTGCTCTGGTGGCCTCAAACAGAGCTAAAAATCGTTCTCTATCAGACTGCAATGACCACCCCATAATATTC